CTGAAATGCCGGCCTCGTCTAAAGCAGTAGCCACGTGACGAACAACACCTGAATCGATACCTGCCGTTATTATCCAGGCACCTGTCGTCTGTGCGGCCTTTAATAAGCCTTCACGGAAAACTCGACCCAGTTTGTCTTGTACTCTGACATAAAATTAATTGTAAACTTTTTCAATGCACAATTTATTTGAATTCGATCTGGCAATGAAATTGAATAGTTCGTTTGAAATAAGATCAACAGCTACTGAATGTAACGTGTTTCGATAATTAATCACTCAGCCAATATTATCTGAACGATGTCCACACAAAAATTGATGGTTGTATGGATGAGCGATTTTCCACTGATATTGCTGGAAAATGTATGTATTTTATCAAGTAAGCGAATATGACTTACTCAAAATTGGTAATTCCACCATGCACTGTAATCACAAGACGAGGTGGTTCCAATTTCCATACCTTTTCCATCAAGTACATTATGTCAACAGGATCTGAATCGTATCCCAAACGAACATAATGCGCTCGATGTGCATGTGTGCCACCCTTAAAAATACATTATAATTTGACACATATTCAATTTGTTCTCCACTAAACTGTCACTCATTCCATTTGCGAAGTGTTTTTACATTCAATTTAAGAAGGAATCACATACTCTTCTCATTTCATATTTTCAACAGACAGAAAATGCTTAAAAAATTTTTCCTTCCAAGAAATATGCCGAAACAAACCGAGAACTCGAGTGTGCCAAATGCATCAGTATGAGAAACTAGTGTATGTTCAGCGATAGTCCATCGCTCTGGAGCACAATGTGTTGACAGTGAATGATTATCATCTGTGGTTTGTGAACATGCCTCTAGTGCTTCTGAACTGTGTGCACTAGCTGTTCTTCCACAGCCGCACCTTAATTATTCTTTTGATTGAGCTTTCAACAGAATCTGACTTTTCAGAAGACTGCTAATTTATTTATACTCATCTTGACTGTTGTGCCGTGTCTTTCATAAAATTATCACTACTGATTTCCATTACTATTTTAAACGATTGAATAAATTTTGTAGTTGAGTGTAAATGATGAGAACTTGCAAAACTGAAAGTTCATTGAGCAGCACAGTTGATATTAATCGGTATTAATGAAGAGTAAAAAGACAAAACGTGAATGTGGTTGAAAGATGAGCACAAAGAATGGATTCGTTTAATAAAGAAGAACAAGCCGGTTTGAGAGCGTGAACAACTGAATACTTTCTTGTGATAACGTCGTATCGCTGATAAAGATATACATTTTAACAGTACGTTCGCTCAGTGTAACAACTATCATCTTTTAGGCGCATAACATGGTAAATTTCAATGCATAGAGAGGAACTATATTTCTGAACTGATAATTGAAGAAACGTTCTGCAAAGGCAACTGAATGAAATTCAGAAAAGAAGTTATGACTTGTTCGTGAAATGAAATTGCATTAGTGCTGCAAATGAAATGCAACCAATCTGTCATTTTCACCTGTTCACATCGATTGATGGTATGAACCTCATACATTCTCTCTTCGAAAAAACCTGCTCAATCCATGGACCAGTAAGTTTCTCTGACTGAAAATATTTACAGTTAGGTATAATCATTTGTCTGATATGCATGTATCTTCTGATACTTGTTTTCTGATACTTGTTATGCATTTGTCTAATACTTGTTTTTTTAATGTATTCAGATCGGTTCTGCCGAAATATTCAACATCTAAATTTAAAAATTTAGTTTCAAAACGTCCCTTTGATTTTCGAGAATAGTCATCTCTAGCATCAACAGAAAATTTGAATGCAAAACGTTCGTTTTACTCACCAGAACTCGAGCAAAAATGTCAGGACGATCGGAGGATTTTGGATTGTGGTTTTCGTTCATCTTTTGCAATGATGCTTGATTGAAACGATTCGATCGCATTGTTAAAAGAAGTTGCTGACCACTCACCGAATTGCGTGGTACACATGGTAATGCGCATGTTGAGTCGCGAGTTCTGCAGGTAGAAACAGGAGTTCGATTAATTCATAATGACATAGAAGAAATTACTTATGAGCTCAAACATTCGACTTCATACAATTATCGACCAGTATAGAATCGTTTGTAATTCTTAAAATTATTTTCGCAGTTCTCTATACGCATATTCTGTTTTGATTGCTGAAATGTTTCGGTACCATGCATGAAACGTGTGTATTTCATCAATTGTAGCATTTGCTGAAACATAAGCTCACATGATCTTTGATGAACTGAAATTTTTTTGGATTGATAGCGACGTTATACTTCAGTTATACCGTAATCTTTAAAGTGTACATAAGAGACTTTTTTAACGTCAGCAAGCGAACATTGTTTCGGTGTTGTTGATGTACGTAAAATAACAAACCATTGATTATTTTTTATCGTCTTCAATAGATAGCTAACATCGCTAAAGAATGCAGCCGTTTCGAAAATCAGAACAAAACTGCATTCAAACACATAAAGGATAGTCGCACACACTATGTTAATTAATTGTTTCATACACAATTTTCGATAATTATTTTTCTCGGATTGGTACTGATTATCCAGCATTTTTTGTTTACCACTCAACAGCTGTTTCATATTTGAACTCTTGATGTTTCGTCATTGTTTGTGATTGGAAAATCAGTCACAAATTACTTTCCAAGCCGTAATAATGCAGCGCTGTCCGTTAATTTAGTGCTTCATTATATTCAAGGAAAGACGACTAAATTCATCATCACTTCGAATTATCGAACATTCGCCATAATTGAAGAATCGCTAAATCTCAAATAAGACAGAAAATTCCTCAAAAA